TTGGTTTTCTTTTCCAATCAGATATTGTTGCATATTCTGAGGTAAAAAAGACAGGAACTCTCTGCTCAGCGCACTCACGGATGAGGAGACCAGTGTATATGGAGAGGTACGGACTCTTCTACCTCTGCCTAGGGCATCACGAGATAAGCACTCAGGAGGCCAGGTTAGAAGAATACAGACTGAAGAGAAAAAGGACGTGTGTGTGTGTGTGTGTGTGTGTGTGTGTGTGTGTGTGTCTGTGTGTGTGTCTATGCGATGCAACATGTGACTTGCGTCTCACAGAATGAAAAAGGAGCTAGGGTGCTCATGTGTGTGTTTTTGTCAGCTGGCTTTAGGATCGCTCCAGATAGCACAAGCCAAGTCCTCACTATAAAAGAAGTCCGGTCCAGTCCAGTCCACATACAGTAGTTCCTTGGTATTGGCCAAGAGCGTATAAGACTGGGAAGTTGAATGTTGAACTCTACACTGAGCAGTTGAGAAACAAAGAGGACAGGGAAGAGAGGGGCTCAAAGTCACAGATAGAGCAAGATGTGGTGGCACATACCTTGAATCCAGCACTCAGGAGGCAGAGGCAGGCAGACTCTGCATTCAAGGCCAGCCTGGTCTACATAGAAAGCTCCAGGCCAATCAGTAATACATAATGAGACGTGTGTGTGTCTGTGTGTGTGTCTATGCGATGCAACATGTGACTTGCGTCTCACAGAATGAAAAAGGAGCTAGGGTGCTCATGTGTGTGTTTTTGTCAGCTGGCTTTAGGATCGCTCCAGATAGCACAAGCCAAGTCCTCACTATAAAAGAAGTCCGGTCCAGTCCAGTCCACATACAGTAGTTCCTTGGTATTGGCCAAGAGCATATAAGACTGGGAAGTTGAATGTTGAACTCTACACTGAGCAGTTGAGAAACAAAGAGGACAGGGAAGAGAGGGGCTCAAAGTCACAGATAGAGCAAGATGTGGTGGCACATACCTTGAATCCAGCACTCAGGAGGCAGAGGCAGGCAGACTCTGCATTCAAGGCCAGCCTGGTCTACATAGAAAGCTCCAGGCCAATCAGTAATACATAATGAGACCCTGTCTCCAAAACAAGCAACAAAAAAGAACTTGCAGATAGGGAAAGGGCCACTGATAAGCAACGAGAGGATGACAAACTTCCAGTTTGGGTTTCTTCCTCACCTAAAATAAAGACTGGCAGGCTTCTTTTTTTTTTCTCCCACTGGCAAGACCCCATTCTGACTGACTTTAGTCTACATAAGTGATGGGGGGAGGGGAGGTTCAATAAAACAAATTTTTTTAAAGAAAAACCTAGAGAAGGTAGGCAGAGTTCTGCAATGATCAACACACCTTCCTTTGTACACATAGCTTATATGTTCACTGAGCTACTTTAAGCATCACTTTAGATCCTAGCAGCTGAGTACAGTTTCCTATTATTAGTGGTCATGGGGGGGGGTAGGTGAAAAACGGAAGATTTTTTTTAGAAAGATTTTAAGCAATATTTCAATGCCAGCACAGAGTGGCGGGCAAAATAAAACTGATAAGGCTTCCTGTGGAGATAGGATCATTTTTTCTGGCCCTCCTGGTCTCCCAGCAATATTAATTTTCGGCACATTCCTATAAAATAGGAAAGTGGCAACAGGTTGGGCTTCTTTTCCACAGTGGAAAAAGAAATGCCTAGAGAGAGGCATAAGGCCATAAGGAGCCAAGTCAGAGGGCAGAGTTTGGCCTTTCAGTCTCTCCTGGTTCTATCATCTAAGCCCACTCTAATGAGGTCATTGTCTTTAACACAGCCCTTGCAGATCACATCTAAAAGGAGGAAGCAAAGACCTGGGTAATTTTCCAGATAATTTCCTTAAAAGAAAAAAAGCAACCTCTCTTTCCTCCAAATTGTTTATAATTGATGCAATACAGGAAGTCTCGCTGCTTTTTAATGAGTTCCCAAACTCAAATTCTGCTATTTAATTTTTTTTGAAATCTGCATTTGCCCAAAATATCTCAGTAATTCAAGTGGAAAGGGACATTTTTGCTTAAATTATGAAAATGACCTCAAATTTATTTCATGTAGCTATGAAGAAGTGGGCACTGCTTGACATCTGAGCAGCAAGAATCCAGTCCTTCCCCTCACAGGGTCCCTTTGGTATTGGGACAGGGGCAGAAAGGAAACCCCATGCTCAAACTCAGCATTGCATTCCTGTCCTCTTAACACTGTGCCTGCCCATCGTTTACTCATGCTACTCAGCTTGTTTTGTGTACATTTATATGATGTGATGATTGAGCTGGCAGTGATGAGTCAAAGAAATGACTTTGTTGCTTGCTTTTTCCCCAAAGGACACATGGCAGTCCTTTGTCTGTTGCTGGTCTCTGTTCTCTACCATGTTGTGCCTGTTGGCCACCATTCCGCATGTTTTCCTTGTGTCTTTCTGCTCAGATCTTCCAGGATACAGCTATTGCCTCTGGATGCTTTAGTTCAGTGAAAACCTTGGTCTGCAATGTGGTCCACAGGTTGAACAGAAGGCTGGAGTCAGACCCAGAGTCTGTGGCAGGACAGTTTGCCTCTTAGGGGCTCAGAGACAAAAGCTTCAGATCTGGATGGGGAACAGAGGCAGTTCCCTCAGGCTGCCATGAGGGCTGTCCTGCTGCTCTGGGAAGTCAGAAGGACCAAGAACAAAAGATGCGCATCAGGCTACCCCAGTACCCAGCTGGAGCGCACTCCTATCCACTCACTGCCTCTACGGCAGGCAGCCAGCGCGAAGTCTTTCTCTTCTGGATTTACACATCTCTCAAAAGGAAGGGCCCCTGTCTGACATAAAATCATATGAAGACGTGATCAGACATGATTCCCTAAAATGTGAGACTAGTCACTAGGTTCCATCCAAGGCATGGTCTCTTAGTGGTTAAGGCAAGGAGGCAAGAAACACTGGGAAAAGCACAAAAGAGGGGGAAGGAAAGCTGGGTCTCTGAAGTCTTTGTTTCTCTCCCATCTGGCTGGAAGCCAGAGGCAAAGATCGAAGAGACCTATCCTTTGTCCACTGATCTGACAGTCATCCTGTGTTACCACTGGGCAAAATCAAAGCATAATGCATTCACAGGTTTATGTCCATCACTCCAGAGGAAATCTGCTTTCCTGTGCCTGATGGCAGCAGGGTTCCTATGCTGCTTTTCTGTTTTCAAGGTCATAACAAAATTAGGAGAGTTCCACTTTCTCCACGATAGGCTGTCATTGTTAGCATTCTCCTACTCCTCCGTGGGGACCCAAAGCCTGTGCACTGCAGCTTTAAGGGAAGAGCGAGCTCTTCCCAGTCCTCTATCAAGTCTGTTTAGATTTTAGGTTTCAGCATGTAAAATTTTAGGCCATAAATAATTCAAAAGCTATGAAGATGATTTTCTTCATGCTCATCTATCCCTACGTACAGCATCCCTCTTCCTTTCTGGCTTCTAACAAATGCTAATTTAATCAACTGGTTGTTCTGGTTGCCAACTCATGCCAGGCCCAGCCACTGTAAACTCAGAACTCTGTCATCTCCTTTGGAAATGAACAATAAAAATGTCTGGTCCTGATCTAACCACCTTTCTCCTTTTGATGTCCCTTGTTTCTTTCTTTTCCTCCCCTGCCTTCTCAAAAAGTATTCTTCCCAGACATCTCTCATGCTATACATTCGAGTGGCTCTCACGGCAGCCTGACCACATGCAAGGCTCTCAGCTGAAGGCAAGTTGTGCTGCCTCCCAACTGTCTCCACGAAACTTGGAGACTTCCCTAGGGTCCTCAGGGCAGCCCTCTAGAAAGAGCCTGAGCACAGCAGAGGAAGAGAAGAGGGAATCTGCCCAGGGTAGAAAGAAAAGTGAGGCAGATCAAGCCCTTGTCATCCACACTGTGAACTCTGCCATGTCAAGTAGGATACACATGTCAGGAAACCCATCAGCATTAAAAACATGAAGGAGCAGCTTTTCTCCCCAAACCAGAAGGAGTGGGAGCTCTTGGATCCCTGGGACAGCCATGTATGGAAGGCAGAGGGAAGGCAGGAGCCATAGGCACAAAGGCAGGGGTGGAGAGGATGAAACAGAAAGACATACTTCCCAAAAGGACCAAGAGGCACGAAAATACGTGGCATGCCTAGGTAGCCCCGTGGCCTATTTCCTTTGCCCCCTGCTCTTTCGATTCAGCTCTAAATATTTATCTTATGAAGAAGCGTTCTCTATCCCAACCCCAGAGGGATTCCTTTAAAATCTTCACTACCACGATCCTCCAAATATTTGCTTAGCACTAATATATAGGGTCCTCTGTGAGGAAACAGATCATTTGCCTTCTCATCTACAAATGCCTTGTAAAGAAAGCACTTACAGCATCCCCAGCACCATCTTGCCCATTATTTTGTTTGCTTTCTCCTCCTGACCTCCTGTAAAGTACACAGAGCGGTAGCTTTAAGCACGTTCTAAAGACAAAGCAGAGCTCCAGGAAAGGACTGGTGGTTGAAAAGCCAAATTGATGCTATTTCTACCAGACACTCATGCTGGCTAACAGGAAGGGGGCACATGGAGTAAGTTTACCTGCTGAGACACTGGACTTATGGTTTATTAAACAAATTAAACAACAGAGCATCAGAAGTTTAGGAAGGAGCTCACTGGTCTGGTACACTTCTTTTGGTCTTGTATTCAATGAACTGTTTTAGGTTTAATTGTACAACATACTCCCCACCCTCACCCCTTCCACATTGGATTCTACGGCTCTTCAATGTGAGGAATTTTCTGTCTTCCACAAGGCTAAGGAGAGGAGCTTGCAGAGAGCAAGTTCTAGTTTTCTGCTTGGTTACAAACTTACATTATTTTGAAGGGAACTGTTATGGCTGCCTCACTTTCCAAATCGCCCCGGTGGGACTGATTTCCACTGGGGTTGTTTCTCTAGAATGGCAGCTATGTCCAGGTTCCTTTGGGTTCTATTTTCAGGTGAGTGTGAGTGTACCTTTGACTGCATGGCTTTGTGACTCTCTTCCAATACTTTTTCTTTCCCTAGGAGGCTCCCTGCTGGCATGCAATGTGCAATGAGGATAGCACTTCCACTTTGGAACTGTGAGACTGAGAAGATACCATCAACTTCCTACAAGAAGCTGAGAAAGAAATATAAAGAAGCTCTCCGCTCTCTGGGCATCCTTAGATCATGGTGGAAATATTCTGTACTTCTTCCTCCTGATTTATGGTTCTACAACTTTGGGGTCATTGAGGTGCTGGGAAAGAATAGGCCGTGTAAGGGAGGATTCTACACCCAGCACACAGCATTCTAACCGGCTCTGCTTCCCAGCCAAGAATGGAAGGCGTGGTTCCCTTTGTCCTTATTTGACCAGAAGGCCAGACTCAGAATGCTGCCTCCGTGCCTGGGCTGGAGAGTCCTGACAAGTCGTAAATAAGCATTCAGCCTGGTATGGCCTCTTGGCTAAATGTTTGCACGGTTACTCAAATGAGGCAGTAGACATGAGTCAGGAGGGAGAAATAACCTCAAGAAAGTGGGTGGGGAAGCTTATCTGACTGGGACTGGGAGATGGTACTTTACTGAAAGAGATGCACAGCACAGGCTCCAGGGACAGACTGCGAGCCCTCCCCCTACACTGCGCCACCTGCCAGAGCCATTTGCAAAGCAGCTTGTAAGAGCAGCTAAGGGAACGAGCCACTTGTCCATCCTCCGTGCAGAAGGCCAACAAGGACTTTAAGCACTGCTGAGAGGGGCAATAAAAACACACTAAATATTGTATCTATTTAGAACACTCACTATTTGAACCAAGGTTATACACAAGCTGTGAACCTAGAGCTTTGGGATAACATTGAATCAGCAAGGTTAGGTCCACTAGAAACATGAAAAGATAAGTTATTGGATTCCAGTGTTTAGTACTCAGTGATCAGTAGATCTCCAGAGCTATCTAGTTCTATCTATCCTTGCCTTGCAGAGGTGGGCTGCCAGCAGCTGGTGACCAGAGGTTATTAAGCCTGCTTGGTACTCCTCGTTTTCTTTGGTGAGGATAATGAGAGTCTCTTCCTGCTGCTAAGCGCCGTGTTCTAAGGGTCTGAAAAAGAAGTATAGCTCCCCCATGAAAAGTATTGTCATTCCCAGTCCACAGAGGGTTGGCTCCAGCCCACCACCCATCCCGCCCATAGGTACCCAGTCCTCAGAGGCTCAAATCCATAACGTAAAATGGCATCGTATTTGCCTGTAACTACACACATCCTTTCATATGTTTTAAAACATTTCCAGATTAGTTATAACACCTAATCAATATAAATGCCATGTAAATAGCTGTTATGCTGTGTTGTTTAGGGAATCATGACAAGGAAAAAGTCTGTACAAATTCAGTTTAGTTGTAATTTTTTTTCCTGAACATTTTGAATTATAGTTGGTTGATGCTACAAAAGCAGAACCCACAGATGTGGAGGTGCATGCTGGGTAAATGAAGGAGCCTTCTTCCTTTTTAAAAAGTATTTTATTTATTATTTTTAGTTTATGTGTATGGGTGTCTTGCCTGCATGTTTGTAAATGCACCCATGTCATGTAATGCCCACGGAGGTCAGAAGAGAGCATCGAATCCCCTGGAACTGGAGTTACAGATGGTTATTAGCCCCTATGTGGGTGCTGAGAACTGAACCTGGATCCTCTGCAAAAGCAGTCAGTGCTCTTAACCACTGAGCCGTCACTCCAGTCCCCAGAGCCGCCTTCTGTCCATCCTTTCCTTCCTTCCCGCCACCCATCCTTCCTTCCCTTCCTCCCTAATGAGTTCAGACCACCCAGATGTGTTGCTTCAGTTTTATTCTGTCTTCCTCTGCTCCTTCTGAACAATTGTATTGGTCAGTTCAGGCTGCCCTAACAAAGTGCCATAAGCTGAGTAGTTTAAACAACAGGGATTTCTTTTCTAGTCCTGGAAACTGGAAGGTCAAAGTCAAGGTGCCAGTTGAATGGGATCATTCTGAAGGCCTTTCCCTTTAGTTGGTTCATAATCTTTTCTCTGCTTAGTCTATGTCCTAATCTCTTATGGGACACCATCCATAGAGCATTCAGGCCCACATCTACGACCTAATTTTACCACAACCACCTCTTTACAGGCCTTATTTCCAGAAGAGGTCACAATCTGAAGTACTAAGTGTTATGACTCCAACACATGAATTTGGGGCAGTTACAATGTAGCCCATAGCAGTTTATATATACAGGGTCAAATACTTTAGGCTTTGTCTGCATAGACTTGGCAAACACAGGGACACATAGGATTTGCCTCACTGTGTCTGCTTACCCACAGGTACCACCATCTCTCCTAAAAAGTAAAACCAATCCCATTGTTCCAGGCAGAAGCAACAGAAAAGATAGTATTGAGGGTTATATTCCAGGTGAGCAGGCTGCTGGGGAAGGAGAGAGGGCAGTGAACGCAGGCACAGTGGGCTTTCTCTCTGCTTTGTGGTTTATCTGGTCCCTGCAACATGATCCCCACATCTTGGTGGCCTCTCCCTTTGTACTAGAGTGGCTTCTGCTGGCTCTCTCTTTCTCAGCACCTCATGTGAGCAGGCTGTTTTGATGATAACAGAGGGAGCTGCCCTGTGTTTTGAATGTAAACTGGGGTTCTGCATTCAATCAGCCTAAGTTTTGAGAGAATCAAGGGGAGAGCTTCATTCCTGGGTCACTTTCTATGTCCTTCCCCAAACAAGGTGGTCCTGTCAGTCATTCCCTTCAGGTGGCCATATCACCATCATCCCAAACTTGCAAGAAGAAGCATGGTCTTGTCCCTCATTCCCAAAGCATCAGCCTATTCCATTGGGAACTTAAAAGACAGTCCCAGCCAGCCAGCACCCCCACCCCAGCCCTTTCCATGGACAGTGATGTGACCTCTCAGTGATGACTTTTGACCTCATAACAACAGGATAGTTAAAGGGTAGAGGCCAAGAAGGCCACTCCTGTGACATTTGTAATGCTTAAAAAAAAAAATCCCATTTTGAGTCTTCTGGACTAAGTCTGTGTTTTGTGTGTCTGTTTTTTTAAATGCTCCTCTGAGCCCAGCTTGCTGGAGGCACAACAGATTTGGCATTTCAATCCATATGCCCATCTGAATCCTAGGAATGCACATGGGTTAGAGTTTTAGAACACCTCTGACAAAGTTAGAGGCAGCTATCTATGTTGATCTATACGCAAGTAGACGAGGGAAATTATCAGAAGAATGGGTTAGAAAGAGTTTCCATTTATCTTCATTCTGTCTCATAATTCAAGTCTACATTTTTAGGGACTTAAAAATCCTATGATAACAAATTCTTAAGCTTCAGAGCCAGGACATTAATTAATGCTTTCTCTTTACTCACCCTACTCAGGGCAGAGAGTGGTATATGGAGCAACAGTCAGGTGTGTGAATCTCTGTCCTCTGGGATCACATGATCAGAGTGAAGAGACTGAGATACAACACTAAGACCAACAGTGAGAAGAAGGCTGGGTAGCTGCAACTGAGGAGCACAGACACACTCTACTGCTGGGCTTCACTGTGGGATGATCACCACAACAAAGGGGTCATGGCGGAGGAGATATTTGAGTTTGTGCCTTAAAAGCAATGTGGGCTCACTGACCTACTAAGCAAGGTGAATGATGTCAAAACAGAGCTGGTGGTGAAGAGGATTACTTTGGTACAGGAAGCAGGGGCTGCTAAAGTAGGTGGGAAGCCAGGCTGTGACAAAACTTGCAGACTCTGGCCATGACTGTGGCTGTGGCCCAGATACAAGGCAACTTGCTCATGAACTCTGGGTTGACAGGAATGAGCAAAGGAAGAGACAGTGGGGCAGAGGCTGGGAAGAATAAATGGGACTTTGAGCCCCTCTGGCTGTGAAAGACAAGGACCAGGGTCCTAATGTTGATCAGCTCACCTTGCTTCCTGGTGAGGAAGCTCCCTCAACCTCCCTCTTCTCCCGCTAGCCTCTGGAAACAACAGAAACTCCCAGCACACCAGACTTTCTGGTGGGAGTTCTGGGTCATCCCAAGAATGTAGCCTGACCTCTGAACAGGGAGGAAGAATGTTAATCATGCCTGACCAGTGGTCAAACAAGAAGTCCTAGAGCTCTCACTGACTTCTCATCCTTTGGCCATCAACACAACTAGTTCCATGGTGATTATATGGAAATAGAGGCAATCGGCTGTAACTTTGATACTTTTCATTGGTCTGTAAGCATCTTTGCTCTACCATCCCTTTTCAACAGCACTAACTTCTATTTATGTCTCATCTACCAGCCCAGGGGGTCACACAGGCTAGGATAGGCTTACCAGGTCATTCTGTATACCTGTCCTTACTAATACATCTAATCTCCTGGTTCAAATGTACCCTGAAGATAGATACCTCTAAACTTTTAAATTATATGAAACAATTTTATTATTTATTATAATTTGAACTTGGTATTCTGATTTCTGTGCTCACCATCTCTTATGGGTTCTTTGTTTATTACTGTGGAAAGGGCTCTGGGAAAGAGGGCAGAACATGACCATATTAAGTCCTACTCTACTGTGAACTGATCATGTAACTGTTGTCCTCTAAGTCCAGCATATTTGGGAGGAAGAACCTTTTTAAAGCTAGGTTGTATTTCTTCCATTGTAACAAAGGAATTAATTGTCCAAGTCAGTCACTAGCAATCCTTCCAGCTTTAACATTTAGACTCTAAATCCCTACCATATTTTGAAAGTTTTAGAGACCTTGATCATCTTTTTCATGATCTATCTGCCACACAGTCATTCCATGACCTCTGCCTAACACTGTACTGTGTCCTATGCACACCAAGTAGATGGCCACATCCAACAAGACTGAGGGATTAAACGTGAATGGTTCCATGTGTCTGAACACATATAAACATGAACTGACAATAGCTTGAATGGAAACAGCTCCCTGGGGGATGTGAACACAGAGAGGTCCTTGGGAAGAATGAGGAAGGTATAGGGATGGGATAAGAAGCAAGGTCACTCTGAGATATATTGAACTGAGGTAAAAATAGGAGACAGACCCAAAGAAATGGGGGCGGGACAGCTCTCAAATGTGAATGAGCATGAAAACAGCCAGGTGACTTTCAGGTGGGTAAGGACAGGCATGGGGTCAGATGTGGAGAGAGAAACCCTACCTAGAAATTAACTGATAAAAAGTAACAGAGGTGGAGCTGAAACTGGGGACCAAGCAATAAGCCTGAGGAGGGAGAGAAACAAGGCCTTAAGGATGTAAGCAAGACAGACAACCACTATGCCTTCTGAGGAGGAGAAGAAAGAAAAAAAAGGAAAGGTCATTAAAAGCCAAGGAGGAAACAGAAAAGGAACAATTTCCCTGAACTGATATAGGCTCATGCCAATATCAGTGTATGGAAAACCTTAAGGATGAGAGGAAAGAATGGCCTAGGGAAAAGTCCTTGAGTTATGTCCTTGGGCTTGGGCAGTGAAGTGATTCTCTTGTTTCCCAGGGATGGACAAAAGAGAGGTCATGAAGCTAAGTTCAGGTCAAGTCATAATCCCTAGATTTTGTCAGGCCCTGATAGTATGGGTCTTATATATTTGGGATTATAGCTGACACTTTAATGTCTCACACAGTAGCCCTTTTCTGACTCACACATGGACAGTGCCTACCCTAAGGTTTTCCCTATAGTTCTCTCTGCCTTGCTGCCCAGGATTTCTCTGATGCTACAGAGCTTTCTACAGAGAAAACTCATAGAGTTTACTTCCTTTTCCCCTAACC